TAGAACATGCGAGCCCAAGACGGCCCTCACAATGAACGAGGTGTTATGCCGAGCCAAGTCAAGAGACTGGGTGAGAGCCACAGCCAGCAAGTTCATGGTGAAGTTCCATGCCACCTCCACGTGGTTGAGCAAGCAATCCAAGAGGAAGAAGGTAGCCCAACTAATGGAAGTGTGTGGATCGCAAGGCCCACCAGTCACAGAGGAGAACCTGACGCAAGTGTCGGTCCTTTTGGATCAGACAAGCGTGCAGTCAGCCGACCAGTACGTGGCGGAGTTGAAACTGTGGCACATTGAAATGGGTCACCCTTGGTCGGAAGCACTCGAGAGAAGGCTCGTCCTGTGCAAAGGCTCTCAAGAGGAACATAGGCCCTGAGAAAAGAGCAGTGGAGGTCAAGCTGGGGGACCTCGATGACCTAGTATGGGATTTGGAGAGCCGCAAAACGACCGAGCCGAAGAAGGTCGCCTGGTCCTACGCTTGGGCCGTGCATTGGATGTTGAGGGCGGCAGAGGCAGCTTCGGTAAAGGCAAAGCACGTGGCGCTAGACTGGAAGAAGAGGGAGGTTAAGTTCTTTCTACCGCAATCGAAGACGGACCAACAGGCGAAGGGGGCATGGAGAACGTTGCAGTGTTGCAGGGAGAGACAGTGCGACGTGCAGTGCCCATGGAACCTAGCAGTTCGAGCGCTGGCCAGCCTTACAGATAAGGAAAGCCCCTTGTTCCCATCGCGCAAGGTCTCGAAGGACCAGCTGGTGAGAGCCTGGCAGAACGTCCTTAACCCTAGGATGTCCGGGCACTCAGCCAGAATGCAGGCGCCATGATGTACACGAGGAAGGGGCTGGGAATCTACGACATCTCATTCCTGGGAAGATGGAAGCCCTCAGCGGTGTTGAGATACATCGAGGATGCCTTGGAAGAGATGCCACTCAATCGCCCCAGACCCGCGGACAAAGCAATGGTCCTGAACAAGGTGATAGAGCCCGTCCAGGTGGACCCAGAAGAGAGTGAGCCAGGGAAGAAGAGAAAGAGTGCAGGTCGCGGACAGGAGGTAAAGTTCGAGAGCCTCCGATCGACAAGTCCCAGCTGTTCGTGATCTCCTCCTCCTCCAGGGGTAAGACGAGACACACTGTGTCGAATGCCGGGTGGGGCATACCGTTGGACAAATGGACTACCACGTGCGGCTGGCCTTTCGCAAGATACCATGTGAAGGTGGAGCTCACGAAGTTTAAGACAGGGAAGGCCAGAGAGTGCGTCAAGTGCAAGAAGCTTGAAGCAATGCGCGACAAAGTCAGAGGAGGGTGGAGAGTGGCGCAGATGGTCAGCCTGTAAAGATAGAAAAGGAAACCAGGCAGATCGACAGCTACCTCACGGCAAAAAGACCTTCCGCTTGAGTGATAGGGTGGAGGGCTGGGAAATGAACTAAACGACTGAAGCTTGTGTGAGCACATTCATGTGCCACACATGCTAGGAGTATAGTTTGGGAGGTGGTGGGCACTGGCCATTTTGGCTCAATCAAGTGCCCACCACCTCGAGAGTTGACTTTCTTGCCCACCCACCCACACCACATATGCACAGAGGGTGGAGAGTGGCGCAGATGGTCAGCCTGTAAAGATAGAAAAGGAAACCAGGCAGATCGACAGCTACCTCACGGCAAAAAGACCTTCCGCTTGAGTGATAGGGTGGAGGGCTGGGAAATGAACTAAACGACTGAAGCTTGTGGTCTGCTGAAGTTCCTGCTGAGCTGCATCTATCTTGGTCTGAGTCTCCTTGAGCTCCTGAAGCAAGGCCGTGTTCTGCGTCTTCACAGCATCAGCCTTTTGTTGGATGGCTGATTTCTTCTCAGCCAACTGCTTGAGCTGCCCAACCGATTGCTTCAGCTTGTAGCTAGAGTTGGTTCAGGCTTTGAGGGCTCAACCAACTTCTCCACCGCCTCCTTCAAGTCACTTGGTAGGCTCTGGAGGTGCTCTTTGATCAAGGTCGGCAAATCCGGAGGAGTCGGAGGGCTGCTGGATTGGATGCCCAAAGCCTCACATTGGCTTTTGAGGGCCCCTGGTAAGTCATTCCAGTGCTCTTGAATTGCCTTCTGAAGCGCATTGGGTTTCACCTTCTTGGTGCGCTTCTGCTTTTGTCCTCCTTGAAGGCCTGGAGGAGGTTCCAACAGGGCCTCCTGGTAGGTCTTGTATGGCCATTGCGCTCCACTCCTGGTGAAGTTCCATGCTGCCCATTGTGTGCGTCTCTTGTTCTGCTTGAGGTCCTTCAGGTGCATGGTCTGCCAGTGGTCTCCACATTGCCGGCATTGCGTCGAGGGCTGCTTGATCAGCCTGTCCTGCCAGATCCAGCTGGTCTGACAACCTTGGCAGACAACATACTGCCTCTTCATTCTGCACCTGGTCCTCCTCAAGCAAATGGTCCTTGTACTTCAAGGTGTCCAGCTCCGGGCCCTTCTGGTAGTTCTGGAAGAAGAATGGCGTTCGCCCGGTTGGTGAGCTGGATTCGTAGGGGACCAGCTTGAGGCTTAGATGGCTTGAGCCACACACACACACATATATATATATGTGTACATATATATATATATTATATACACCTTCATCTTCCCCTGGTGCACCTTTTGCGCCCCTTCGCTAAGAGACAAGATCTGTCTCTTCCAACAAAACCTGAAATCTTCAAAGCACGTGTGGCAACAGATTCTTTATCAAAGGCAGGGTCGTCAGCAAATCAACCCGGTGGGGAAGGTTTACCCAGGAAATCGCCCACGCGCTGTTTCATAGAGATGCGTGTGGAGCAAGTTCTGGCAGTTCTGGCGGCTACGCTGCCCAGAAGGTTTTGAAGGCCTCATATAGGGACAGTTTTGACGGCTTGCAGGGCCCTATAGGTGAAAAACATTGCTTGCCGGATGTGTTTTTGTAAAGAAAACCTTGGCCGTTGAAGCAGCCACCGCAAAGCTCCACACTTACAGTGGTGCCAGCAGGGTCGGCGGATAAAAAAAAATATATATAAATTCAGTATTTGTATCTGAAAACTGGTGGCCTTCTGTAAGACATGAACTTATTCCATCTCCTTTGTTTCGTGGCTTTATGTAGTGCAATTATGCAGTATGACCAGGGTAGTGCTTGTGGTGGACTGTGTTCCATTTATAATGCTTTTGCAACTTGTTTGCTCATTGAACATCATTGTCACAAGTGATAGAACCAATTGACCGTGCCGTCGCTAGATGCTAACGTCAGGCACTTTGCGGACTGACACGCCTGCAGCTGATGCAATTGGCGCCTCGGTGCAGGAAACTGTTGGGGACAAGGTTTTAGTCTGTTCTGTTCGGCAACTTCCACGATGGGCTCGTGGCTTCTTGATACATCCAAGGCTACCGTCAGGTATTGGACTATTTCACCAGGTTCATCAGGGGATTTGGGCTGTGCCAAGTTCCCACGAGCTACAACGTATCGGCTGCACAGGCCCAATGCAAGCGAAGATGATGTGGAGAGCTTCACTGCCTTTCTCCGGAGGTGAGGCTTGTGGTAAGCGCCAAACTATGCAAAACCAATGAACTTTCCGACTGAAACCTCACATAGCAGAATGGTCTGACAGGTTTGCTGCAGCGTCCAGGCAGGTGTCAGCTGTCAGTCTTGCTTTGGGTACGCTACCTCTTGGCGAGGAATTATGCAAAATATCAAATGCACCGTGGCCAAAGTTTATGCAAATGACAAGGATTCAAGAGTAGATCAGTTGATGTCGTGTGACCTTGGTGTCACCCCCTGGCCAATGGGAGAGGGACACCTATTGACACCCACTTCTGGAACCACATGGATGCAGTGTACGTCTAGAAGACCACGAGATCAAATTTCAGCAATCGCCGTGGACATGCAGCAAGAGCATCACAACTCCAACGGACATCCGACAGAAAGCCTGAAGAAAGAGCAGGCATTGAGAAGTTAAATCGTTGGGCCGAGCCTGGGTCAACTCATCAAGAATTGGCTAGTGATCATAGGTTGAAATTTATGCATGTATAACTTCGGTCTAACAGTGGTGAATATTACCACCACATTTTTGTTCACTTTGTTCAGCAAGCTGAGGCAGTGGTTCATGAAGGACAGGCTTTGATTGCCCAGCATTTCAGTCTTGAGTCTTGAGCATTTCAGTTTCAGCTTTACCAGCTCGACAGGACTTTTCTTTCATGTGGGTGCTGGCCAACCCAGCGAATCCGGAAGAAGTTGGAGTCATCAACTCTGGCCGTGAACATTGGTCTGTCTATAATTGTCAAGCCTACTGGCTTGAGGCAAAGCTCCATGATCTCTGTCGTTTGCGAAAGTCAAGTTTTCTTTCAAAGGTGAGGACTTGGTTGAGCTGACGTTGTTTTTCAAAAGCCTGGGACGCAGTGGTGAGCTGTGTCACACTGTGTGGGAGGCAAGCCAAGATAAGGTTGAGCGTGAGATGCAGGCAGGGGAGAAGATGTCGCGAGTCCCGGCAACCAACAACATCCGACAGCTGGTCTGTAGGCAGAACAAGCATCTGCCATGGCCTGGACCTTCAAAAGTGATTTGGAGGAAGGAGACCTGCCAAAGCAGGACTGCTTGTGATGTGCTTTGTCTATGTACACTTCAGCAACTCAGCTACAGCAACTTCGGCATTTCAGCAACTATGCGTCAGAAATCGGGTGCATTTCAGCGACAGAAACATGTCTCATGCTTCAATACCATTCAACATCCATATCCCGTCTTAGCAACTTACGTAGTTCGGCCACGCTGAGAACGCGCTGTGTGCGGATGAGGGTGGGTGGGTGGGTGTGGGTGGGGATCATCTCCACGTCCATGATTTCGTTCTGCATGAGCTGCTTGCTTTAGGGCTGCTTGCTCTTTGGAAGCTTCAGAACTTTCACAACTGCAGTTTCAGAACAACTGCATGGGTCACAGTTTTCGTTTTCCTGGCTTCCCGGGGCTTCCCGCACACGATTGTTTTTTTGGCATAGTGTAATAGTGTAATGGCATATGACCCATATGCCTGATGCCTTGATGGGGTCTCAGAGACCTTCGTCAAAAAGTATTTTCTTGCTGTGGCGGTGGCATTGCGACCTCCAAGTTGCAGCGTCGCAGGAACAGGCAGTACTTCTTTCAAGAGCAGACCAGTGTACACGAAGGGTCTCTCACCTAGTTTTACACAGTGAGACTAAAGAAAGAGACGAAGCAGGGCTGCCGCAGCGAATGACACGAGGTTCCCCAAGCAGAACGACAGCAGCTTCCCTTGCTCTCCAGCTTTGTGCTAGAAAGTGGCGTCAGGTCCTTATTTTGCATGTGACCATCGTAGCACAGGGTGTGGCTGAGCTGAGGTGAATGTGGGAAAGGCCACTGGGTGTGGCCCTCGCCAAGACTGCAATGATGTGTCTTTGAGCGCAGGTCTACTGGTTCGGGAGGCATCGCAAGCAAAGCTCTCAGCACTTGTATGACTTGGCATTGGCAGTGCTTGGCTAAGCTAAGGTGGGGTTGGGGCAACCCATTGGGCAAGCTGCATCGACAAGGGCTCCAGCTGTTTGGTGCAAACGGGTGGCAGGTGTGGAGTTCGTTGTGTGGATGTTTTAAGCACCAGCTACAGTGCTGTAAGCTCGACCATGATTATATCCCAAAGGGTTTTAGCAGTCTTCATGGGCAACAAGGTGATCAAGGAAGATGATGATAGTGTCCTTCCAGCCTTTTGCTGGCCCGCCCGTCACTTGCCGGCAAATGATTCATTTGTGCTCTGCTACCCTTGGCAATGCCCTTGCAAAGAAGAGCTTTTTTGTTTCTGCATGTTTGTTCTTGCCAGTGTGTATTTCATACGGACCACGGGCGTGTTTCTGTTCCTTTCAATTGTGCCCAGGCCAAGCCAGCCACTTTCCAGCTCGTAGCTCGTCGGAAGACCTGCCACTGATCCGACCATTTCCCCAGGACTTAACGAATGAGGGTTACATATCATTGAGGAGTGTAACGTTCCCATATTTTTTTGAGAAGGCAAGGCTCAGCAAGTGACGATTCGTGAGCTTTGGCAATTGTTTTTGCTCCGCAAGCGCTAACGGAATGCCAGGAGTTCACGAGGAGACTTGACAACAAGGCAGACTTCTCTTAACTGCACCTTAGTTTTCTTCACTGCCTCGGTTGCGGAAACCAAGGCCAGCCTTGCAAAACTTCTTTCAGCAGGAGGATGCCATGACATACACCCGGACACCTGGGATGCGCAGATCTTTCTGAAAGAACCACCAGTGTCGACGGAGTCAGAGGTGTTTTTCCTGAAGCACAGCCTCGGAGTAAAAGGCACGGGAGTGAATGTATATCGTCGAGCTGCACTAATGAGTCGCCTCAATGCCTTGGGGCCAAAAGGTTGTGAGCCCTTCGTCGTGCAACGTTGTGTTGCACCTCCAGCGCTTCGAAACGGGCGTAAATGGGTGATTCGAGCCCACGCATTGTTACACGGAAAAACAGATGGCAGGCTGTGCCTTTTCTTACACAATGAAATGATATCTTTGGAGTACGGACAGGTGTACACAGAGCAGCCTGAGGTCAAAGCTGCCCATGTTAGCAACAGCGCCAAGATCAAGTACCTCCCAAAGCCTGAGCTCGTCCAAGATGATTCGCTGATTCAACAGCTTCGATCACTTACCCAAAGGCTATTTGCTTCTGTCCTTGAGCATGTGCCCAGAGGACCATTCACACCCAAAGAAGCAGAACTGTGTCAGATATTTGGCTTGGATGTGATTCTCGACGGGATGGGAAAAGCTTGGCTGCTTGAAGTCAACGACTACCCAGCAATTGCATCTGGAACTATGGAGCATGTGGACTTGAGGGTTTACACAAACCTTGTACGCGATGTGCTTCGCCTGGTTGTGCTTCCAAAAGTCGATGGCACAGTTTCTGCGCTTGGAGGTTGGCATCCAATTAAGCTGCCGGCAGTTGCTGGATGTGCAAAAAAGGTTTGAAGCCATAGTTGCTATTCAAAATGCAGTCCACTTACTTGGTACAGGCAAATGGTGCTTTGCAATTGTTTGTGCGCAAATTTTGACCGGACAGTTCATGCATGTACTTTTCTTTGTTTTTAGGCTCAAGCATGTGATTCATCATCCTATTTCTTCATATCCATCCTTTGACTCTTGCACTTGGTTGCTCTTCATCATGCACTCTGTGTGGCTCCAAGACAGTTTTGCTGGAAACCAGGCCCGGCGTGAACATTCTGCAGATAGCTCATGACCGAGGCCCACTCTATGTACTGGCTGGGAGGCATACTTATATTTTTAAATGCAGCAGCCCCAGTGATTTTGAAACGTGGCCTGCCAAGGAGTCCTGTTTCATTGGTGCATCTTCATTGCACTTTTCAGGCCCCAGCAGTGGCCGCCAAGCCGTCTGCTTTGGCATTAGACGATGAGTGCACATTGGAGGAGTCTAGTGCCCAGAGTTGCACTACGATCACTTTGTGTGCTGTGCCCTCCAAACCAAGGTGTGCACTTGACGCATTGCAAAGAAGAGCTCGGACATTTGAGTTGCCGAGCTGAGCTAAGATCAACTGAGCCGTGAGTGTACGCCAGAGTGCTTGGAGCTTCCAACGCCAGTCTAAGGCCACCAAGTGAAGTGTAAATCTCAGATGCAGTTTGTGCCAAGATCCCAAACAAGTGCCGCCCTGGTGGATTTGGTACTTTGGACCCTCAGGTGGAAACAGCGCCTGACGACGAGAACCTCAAGCCTGATGATGCTTCAGCTCCGGCAGAATCTCCGAAAGAGACAGCCGATGTCGGGGTTGAGGCTGGGACTCGGGAAGGTGTCAATCGAATGCTTGGGCAGGGCTGTTGCGGGCCCATATCTCTGGTGGCCAGGATAAAAAGCAGCAAAAGACGTGCCAATTTAGACAACGCGATACATCCAATATGTAGATTAGACAGAAAGAAAGAAAGAACGCAAGAAAGAAAGACAGGAAAAGAACAGAACATAAAAGAAAAGAACAGACAAGAAAAGAACAGACAAGAAAAGAACAAGAAAGGAAGGAAAAAAAGAAAGAACGACATAAAGAAAGACATAAAGAAAGAAAGAAATAACGAAAGAACGAAAGACATAAATAACGAAAGAAATAAATTTAGAAATACATAAATAATCAAAGAAAGAACCATAAAGAAAGAAATAAGAAATATAAAAAGAAAGAAAGAAAGAAAGAAAGAACGAAAGAAATAAATAAAGAAAGAAAGACAGAAATAAAGAAAGAAATAAAGACAGACAGACAGACAGACAGACAGACAGAAAGAACGACATAAAGGAAAAGGAATGGAAAGGAAAGAAAAGAACAGAAAGAAGGAAAGAAGGAAAGAAAGACCCAAGAAAGGAATGAAGGAAGAAGGAAGGAAGAGGGAAGGAAGGAAGGAAGGAAGACAGACAGACAGACGGACAGACAGACAGACAGACAGAAAGAAAAGAACCAAACCGAACAGACAATACAAGCAAAGAACAAGAAAAGAAATAATGAACGAAATAGAGAGAGAGAGAGAGAGAGAAAAAGGGAGAGCCAAACATCATATGGCTCAAGGCTCAAGATCTTGGCTCAAGGCTTGTCCTAGGTGGCTCAAGCAGGTGTGGTGGCACTGAGGACCTCGCCGGCACTGGACCTTTTGTTTGAGGAGCTCCAGGTCCTTCCCTACCTGTTTGGTGCCTGTGCCATTGCTCATAATACGAGGTTGCAGAGCGCACGACCGAGTTTGTTCCGAGGAGATGATGGACTGGGGAGGCTACATTCAAGGCTACCAGAAGGTGAGAGGCAGGAGATCCTATGTTGCCTGTGCAGGCTGCAGCTCTTCCTGGATCTGGGCGGATAGAGTCAGCCCCAGCAGATGGGGTTGCAACAAGTGCGGCACTCCATGGCCAGCCACAGAAGCATGGAATGGGAGCCCGTCACCGACACGCAAGGTGAGGAAACCAAGAGGAAGAGACAGAACAAAAGTGGAACCCCCACCAGGCCTTGGAAGCAAGCAGAAGCCTGAAGGAAATGCTTTAGAAGCCACCCTAAGGAAAGCCTGGGGGACTATGCCAACTGCCACCCAAGATGCCTTGAAAGGATTTGTCTTGATTTCACTCCGGAACCGGAGCTGCCGCCATTGGAGGAGGTGCTAAAGGCCCATTTGGAGTCATTGCCCAAAGAAGTCAAAGATGCAGTGGAAGGGCTGATCAAGCCTCAGCCAACTACACATGTGGATGTGACAGGGCAGCTGAAAGCCACAGTTGGGGAGCTACGCCAACTGGCCACCAAGAAGCAGTCCCTCCAGCGACGAGTTGATCAAGCCAAGGACCAATACAAGGTGCTGTTGGATGAGCTCAAAACGGTGCAGGAAGCGATTGACCGAGAGCGCAAGCAGCTTGGGGATCAATCGGCAGCATATGCCAAGCAGCTGAAGGAAGAAGCAGTGCCTTTGAGCCCGGCAAACGAACATGTCTTGGGTGTGGATGCCACAGAGCACGTCCTTAAAGCATTGGGACAGGCTGGCATCATTTTCAATTCAGATCAGCAAAAAGAGCTGGAGAGGAACCTGGCTGAAACACTAGCCAAGCGCCGCAAGATGGACGGCGATGCCCAGTTGAGTGGGTAACAGCAGCCGGACCTTTTGTGGTGGAAAAGGAGGAGAGTCAGCCTGTTTGCCTGCAGTGAAGGGGTCCTGGAGGCAGACAGCTGAAGAGAAGGGGTTTTCAAACACTTGGGAATGTTTGAATGTGTGGAGAAGTGATTTGTCACATCACTCTGAAAGGGGTCAGACGCAGAGTGAAGCTGACTGGGGGCAATTCTTGTTTGGTGATTTGTGCAATGCTCATGGAGATCATGTACATGTTGCCCACCAAGGATTGCAGCCGTATGTGAACGTGTGGGAATATCATGAGCAACCATTTCCAAGAGAGCAGGACAGTGCACATTTTGGCATTGCTCTGGGTGTTGATCATGATTCTGCAGTTTTGTTTACTCCCCGGACCGGTTTGAGCCATGCAGGGGATGAGCTAGAGGGTGAACGAACTTTGAACATGGAAAAAGTCAATAGCCCAGCTGGCTCCTCAGTTGCAATGACAGGTGAGGATAAACTGGCAAAAGGGCATATGCAGATGGGTGAATTCAAAATGATCGGACAGCACATGACAGGAGGCCAGGAAGAGAGCGGGGCACCGACCTTGGGGAGCACAGAGCGGCTGGGGCATCCCGGGCCTGCTAATTCCGGGACCCTGCATTCTCTTTCGACGGCCAACAGATGCAAGATGAAGACACCGTCAGGTGAACAAACGGTTGCCTTCTTGGGGGGAGGCAAACAGGGTGAAGACGATTATTTCATCTTGGAAGATGATGATGAAAGAGCAAATGCGGACATCACTACCCCTGGACACCTGCAGGACAGATTCCTGACTCTGCGAGCAAAAGCTTTGGATGCTATCAAGGCCTTGCCGGCCCATTGCAGAGAGGACCAGGGCTATGGTATGGGGGAGACTCGTGTATGGGGGCTGGAAGCCCTGAAGCACATCCTACGAATGAGACTGGCCCTTCAAGGAAGCATTCAGCTCACCCGTCCTGTTTCGCAGGCTCTTGATATGCCACCAAACAATGAGCTGCTTGCGGCCAACCTTACGCTGGTCATCCGAAACCGAGGCAATAGATGCTATGCCAATTCGGTTCTCAGGTTATGGTGCTGGATGGGTGCTCATCATGACAACCCAGCTGAGTTTTGGGGTCCATCCACCAAGTTGTGTCTTCAGCTGCTTCAGCAGATGACATCCCGGACATCTTTTGAGCATCTGAGATTCAGCCAATCCTTGCCAAGCTAGACAATCCACAAGCCCAGCATGATGCCTCGGAGTTCCTGGTGCACTTGTGGGAGTACTGGCAACAAACAGGCCTGCAAGGAGATTGGCATTCGCACTTTGGGGGGAGGTGGCATGACTTTGACACTCTCCCACTCTTTGTCAGGATGCCTTATGAGGATGGAGATGATGTGCCTCTAGAGCAGTTGTTGAGTGACTGGGCAAATGAAGCCAATGGTCAATGTTTGGGAGCGGGTGTGCAACACATTGTTTTCCACATTGGCAGGTATTATCACTGCACAAAGGCCAAGGCGTGGGTGAAGCATCATCACCGGCTTCAGATCCCCTCCACTTTCCAATGTGCTCAACGTACGTCCACCGGGCATGGAGGCCATGGGACTTTCGTTCTGAGAGGGGTGATTGCGCATCAAGGGGAAGCGCTCACGTCGGGACACTATGTCTCCCTTTTGGTTGAAGGAGATGCACTGTGGTCGGTGGATGATGATCAATGCCCGCAAGCACAAAAACACATCCCGGAAATCTTTCACACGGGAGCAGTTATGATATGGGCTTCCAAAGCAGAGCACTCACATTTCTGGACGAAGACCATTGGCAGTTTTGAGCCGCCAGCGAAACGGCAAAGGATCCAAGGGGATGGTGTGGAGGTTTTCTACAGCAATATCACCCAATGGAACAATGCTGCCAGAGAATGGGTCCAGCAGACAGAGCATCAAGTGGTTATGCTGGTGGAGACGCACCTTCATGGACATAAGCTGGAGCAAGTCACCGCTCTCCCAGCTTGGGAGACAGGGAGAGGTGGCAACAGTGGGGGACATCTTTTCAGCTGCCGGGAAGGGCAGTCGTCCTACAGGCTTCATCACTATGACCTGAATGGCAATGGCTTCCTGGCCAATGTTCTGCAGAGACAGCATTGGGAGCTGGTGTTGGTTTCCATCTACCTCAAATGCGGAGAAGATCTGAACTCCCATGTCCTAGGGCAATTAGCGGCTTTCCTGACTGAACTAGCCGTGCCGTGGGTCGTCCTTGGAGACTTTCAGGTGCCACCAGAGCAGTGGGAGGGGCACAATTTGCTGAACGTGCTCAAGGCAGAGGTTGTCAGTTGTGGACAATCCACGGTTACCACAGGAGGAGAACTGGATTACGCTCTGGCCAGCTGCAAGATTGCGCCTTTTCTCGAGCTTCAACCCAGTTGGGATGTGCCCTGGAAACCGCGTGCAGGACCCCAATTTGCGGCGGTTCCAAGGCTTGAAGAAGCTTCCCGGGGATGGGATGAGTTTGAGCCCCAGCCAAAGTTTTTCTGGCTTGGCAAACAAGGAGGGCCGAAAGAAATGCAATGTGCAGAGTGGTGTCATCAAGCAGAGCAATATGCACTACAGAACTTGCAGCATCCTAAGCAAGGAAGAGGCTGGTATCTTGCTCTTGAGTTGAAGCCCTTGCCGGCCACGCGACCGCTCTCTCCGTGGAAGAAAGGAGACCTGGCGTATTGGGGGCAGTTTTGCTCCCTCCTTGCCCATGTCGCCAACAAGGATACAACGAGCACAGCCACGATGCTTCACCTTCGTGCTAAGGCAGCTGATCTTGACAAAAGGTGGCAAGAAGTGCATGGGAAAGAGGCTTTCACTGCGGCCTTGGAAGATTTGCTGAATGGAGACAGCCGCCCTCTTACTCTGCTGATCACAGGAGCTGAGGCCAACAAAGATTATGCCAAGAAGCAAGCAATGGAACTACAGTCCAAAGAGTATCAGGTTTGGTTGGCGCAAGCAACACTGAAGGGATGCAGCGGGATCTACAAAAGTCTCAAGGCACCGGATGCTGTGCATGTCAGACCTTTCAGGAATGTGCCAGTGCCAGACAGGCAAAAGCTGCGGGAGAAACAGTGGTATGGGCAGTGGGAGGTTATTGACAAACCCCTGGCAAGTGCAGAAAGGGAGAGATTGAGATGGGAAGCAGTCCAGTAAGCAAGG